CTGTTCTATGAAGATAGAATACAGGATGCAGGAGGTGACACCCTAACATCAGCACTTCCTCCTTTCCCTTCCCTGCTTTGCACAGCAAGCAGGAGGCTGGAGGGGACAAGCTTGAAGGCAAAGGGCAAGAGATGCACAGCCATGGGAGGGGTAGCTGAAGTGCTGCACTTGAGAGAACTCTCGGCCAGACCAGTCAGGATCACCTATCACCGGCTCCGAGATCTACCGGTAGATTCCTGTCTATTGGTTGGTGACCACTGACATTGTTTTAAGACCTGTGGATAGTCTAATCTAATGTTTTATGGCCACTTGAATAATCTAATATATAAAGGAGAATGTTTGTATTCTAATAAGTTGGACACTGTAAGAGCTACCACAACCAAACTTTGCATGGGATAACCTCTTATCCAGGGGACGGTTTTAAGGTACCGTGGGAGGGAAGAGATGAGAGACTGACGCCTCTCCTCAGGGCTGCATGGAGCTTGGCAGTGTGGGGAGAAGCGGCTTTCTGGGGGAAGCAGCGCTGCCAATCACTCACTAAGGCCGGCGGAGAGACAAGGAAGCAGAGGGTGGCCTCGGGCGCCGGCGACAGGCACGTAGCTCCCTTCCTCCCTTCAGGCTCCTCACCTCAGTTATATCAACTGTCAACTTATATTTCAACAATGTATACTGACAAAGAGCAAGGACAGTCACTTAAAGTAGTTGGAATTGATTTGGAGACATCTTGCTTTTCACATGGACAACTCTGTTGCATGTTCAACAGTTGGAAGTGGAAAAAAATTGTACATATTTGTTAAGAATAATGAAACAAAATATAGTTTACAATAAAGTTTTTTACAATAACATGTAAAATTGGTTGTTTTATACTTTTTGTATATTTTAATCCCTATTGAACTCAGTGCAATTTTTCTACTATTCACAGAATGATAATGGACTGCTGTTTTTCTAAACTTTGTTCCTCCACTTTCCCGAGCAACGCCGGATAACTCCTGCTAGTTTGAAATAAAGTTCCATTTACCCCAGGTTTTTCCAGCTCTATTAGCAACTTCCTTGAATACAACTCTGAAATCTTGCTAATTAGTGAATTTTATATCATCTGTATTGAGTGTTTGATGCACCTGTCATGGTGTCTTAAGTTACGAATATTCAGATGTAAGGTTGCACTAATATCGTCCAAAGGTTTATCAACTGTCTGCTCTTTCATGCTTCATTTGCTTTTTACTTTTTTCTTTTCTTTTCTTTTTTTCCTCTTATGCTTATCATTATCTGCCGTTGAGAAAGGATGTCGTCTCTTCACTGGGGGAAGGCTTTTGTGAAAAGGTGGGTTTTGCATTGTGTTCTGAAAACAATTGAGCTTAAGCTCAGTCAAGTCTCGTGCAGTAAAGTGTTTCACAAGTAGGAGGTTCTGTGTTCCTTCCTTAACATATTCCTGGAGTCAGAATCCCCGTAAAGCTGTCTCCCTGGATTGGAAATTGAGAGATGACTTTTAAGGTAGCCACCACGCCTGTGCAAGAACATCTTAAAGATTAAGACTTTGGATTGGGGCACTGCATGTATCAAGACATTGAAAAGGGGACAATCCTGTGATCAGGATTTCAGGAGATATATTTTAATACTGAGTGTGCTAAAGAATTCCTGTGGGAGCTCTGGTTAGCCAGTCTCTCTAAGTTTCCCATCAATAGGCCAATGCAGTAGTTTCTTAACTGAGTATGAGATGAGGATAAAATCATTGTGATGCTCCTATAGTGAATGTCAAAAAAGCATTCTATTTCTTTAAAGTGTGTATCCAAATGTTTGATCCAACAATCATTTAATATTTTTGAATGGTTAATTGTTAATAAAAACCTAGAGGGGGTTAAGATATTGTTTCATTTGTGACTTTTTAAAAGTTATTAAATGGCCACCGCCTGCCCTTCACCCTCTGGTTTGAAGGCTACGGCTGTTACAGAAACCCTGACTGGAGGAAAAGCAGTGCGCAGAACTGCATGTGTGAAAAAACAAACTGCTTTTCCAAGGATAAGTTGTGTGGGAGAGAACTGAGAATTTGCTTGTTGTGGTGGGTTAAGTGTGTTGAAGCAGTTGGTTAGGAAAGCAGCTTGTGATCTATGCTTCTTGCCAGGGGAAGTGGGAAACTCCCATCAGCAGGATAGGAGATATTGTACTACTACTCTTGCTTCCTCAGCTTTCCCGATCATTCTTGAACAAGCAGTGATTTTCTAGATCAATTGCTGTACCACACCTCTGCTTCTTTGGGAATGTTTTGAATACATGGTAGAGGAGATTCCATGTCTTATTTTTTTCCCGATGTATGGTGACATGGTCTAGCAGAAGGGACTTTGGCTGATTGTTATTAAGGATGTTAAGAGGTGGGTAATTGACTAATTGTGTAGTTGATACAATTTGTATTGACTATGTGATTAGTCAATAAGGGAAGGGACCGGCTTGCACTGGTCCAGGAGCTACCTCTGCTGCAGCACTGCAGTTTGAATGCAGTAGGAGCTGGGCATGCAGGCAGCCTGGCTCCTACTACATTTAAACTGCAGAGCTGCAGCAGGGGTAGGTCCCCGACGGGCTCAAGCTGGGACAGATCTGTGTCCACTGCAGCTCTTCATCTTAAATATCATAAGAGTTGGGCTGCTCTTACTACATTTAAAATGCATAGCCGCAGCAGTCCTAGACCAGCGCAAGCTGGGACTGAGCCAGGTATGCTCAGTCCCGGCTCGTGCCGGGTCCAGCAGCCTCTGCCTGTGACCAGCCTGGGCTGCCACAGACAGGGGCTGCTTCACGGCAGCATCCCCTGACAGCAACCAGCCTCAGACGCTGCAAACAGACTGCTTCAGCAGTAGCCCTTGTTTGTGGTGGCCCAGGCTGGCTGTGGCAGAGGCTGCTTCATGGCAGCTTCCCTTACCCCCCACCTTCCACTCCTGCCTCTGATAGAGGCATCAGTGTGTGTGGGAAGGCAGGTGGCACCATAAAAAAGCCAGTTTCCCCCAGCATCAGTTCCTATCCCCCACCACCGCTGCATCTGTATCAGAGGAAGCAGCAAGGAGAAGGAAGCGAGTAGTCGACTCCACTACCCGATAAGCTTAGGCTTATTGGGTAGTTGACTGCTCAACTACTCGCTTACATCGCTAATTGTCGCCTTGTGCTGCCCTGATGATTTCTGTTATATACAGTGACAGAAGAGTTTGTGCAACCCTCATCTTCAACCACAGAGCGAAGGCTGGGGCTACCAAAAAAAATGAATAATTATATTCTCAAACACAATAAAGTATTTTCATAATAACTCACCATGAGAATTTAGTAGCCATTCACTTTATTTTTTAAAAAAGGTGATGACAATGAGAATTATCGCTTAAAGGTGTGCCTTGTTACCATTATGCTGCTGTATCATCTCTCTCTCAAAAAAAATTGCATCCTAATTTAACAAGTTCATTGAAGTTGCTGTGTGGAAAATTGCCTTGGTTGAGAAAATGAAAGGTAGTGCAAATACTTCAGGAAGATGGAATTGAAGAATAATTACTTTTTCATATGAGTGGTACTTATTTATTTGTTAGTGTTTTACAACGCTAACAGGGTCAAATAGAAACACAATTCTTTGGTAATTGATATCCCTATTATAGGGCCTTTTGCATTGTACCTGTACAGTGTCAGGCCCTCTGTTGCTCTGCCATCAATTGCACAAGCAGAAAGAGATCTCATTTTGGAATTCATAAAAATTACAGATGTCTATTCCTAGGGGGAATTCTGCACCTTTGTGAATATGCAGAATTTTTGTGTGTCAGATTTCTTTGTTTCTCACCAGAAAAATTACTCCTAGAGCAGCTGAGGGAGAGAGAAATCACTAATAGGTGAGGTGGGGCGGGGGAAGTTCCAGCCAGTGACTCCTTCCCACATAGAACCCTTTCACGCTATATCTAGATCCCCTGACACTGATCCACTCCACTTGGATCCTGCCAGGCTGAGCCTGCTTCCCATACCTGGTGTCCTTGACACAGAGGGACAGGAGATATTTATGGAACAGGCCTGGACCTTTTGCTATGTCTGAATCAGGTGTCTAACTGCTGAGTCAATTTTATGGGGAGCCAGTGATCTGTTGTCCCCACTGGCACGCTGGACTCTCCACATATATTTATTGACCAATAAAGTTTGCAGAATTTTAAAATATATGCAGACTTTTAAATTTTTGGCCCAGAAGTTCAAGTACATTTTCTAACTCAGTGTTGCATCCAACACAGGAGAATCCCATATTAAGACTGATCTTGACAGCAAGAGAGAGGAATTGATCACTTACACTTAAACAACCACTAATGTTAGTTCTGTGATTGACCAGTTGTTTTGATTGTATTTGTTATGTTCAAGCACAATAAAGTCCATACCAGTAATATGAATATACTTGGTGCTGTAAATGGTCCAATTCACAAAGCTGAAAACAGATGAGCCAAATCAGTTGCAGGAGAGAATATAAACAAAAAATTGAGTGTGATAATTATGAATTGTATAAGAACATTTTACTAGATGTCCGAAAAGCCATTATTGAAAGAGAAGGCTCCACAGTTTAAAAACAGCTTTTCTTAGGGTGTGTCTAGACTACATGAAGCCTTTTTGGAAAAAGGAGTGTGTGGACGTGGAGGAGGGTTTTCTTTTGGAACAATGGGACTCCAGGGTGTGTTTATACTACATCCCTCTTTTGACAGAGGCATGTAAATTAGACACTTCAGAATTGCAAATGAAGCCGAGATTTGAGTTTCCTGCACTTTATTTGCATAATCATGTCAAAAATGAAGTTTATAGGATCTTTCAAAAAAGGCTTCTATTTTCGATAGAACCACGTCTAGACTGCAATTTCATTTTTGAAAGAGCGTTTTTTCAAAAGATCACCATGACGCGATTATGTAAATGAAGTGTGGGAAATACAAATCCCGGCTTCATTTGTAATTTCAAAGGGTCTAATTTACATCCCTCTGTGAAAGAGGCATGTAGTCTAGACACACCCTTAGAGGGGAAATTGATATATCAATAAACATATTGAACAGCTAGAGTGAAAGCAGTGAATATAAGCTAGAAGTTAGGAATTATAGAAGATTGATAATGGGGAAAAAAAGGACACCTGTGGCATGCAGATTTAAGGAGTTTCTTAAATATATTGGGAATAAAAGGAATCCTAATAGTGGTTTTTGTTCTTTACTAGTGGAAAACGGTAGAATTCTCAAGTGTTGTAGGAGTATTTTTGATCTTTAGTTAAGACAAAGCCCAGCTGATGTTTGTCATACGATATTGAAAAACTTTTCTATTCCAATAATAACATCCTCCTTAATTAAATAGCTGCTACTAAAGTTAGAACCTTTCTAAATCTGCAACCCAAGACAGCTTGCATCCAAGAGTTTTGAAAATGTTGGCTGAGTTTACTGGACATTTATGGTTGCTTTTCAGTAAGTCTTGGAACACTGGCTTTCTTTCTGTCTGCTTGAACAAATCAGGCAAAATGATGGACATAGGACTCAATCAATGAAGAACTGAAAGACAGTAACATATAATGCCTATCAGCAGAAGTTTATGAAAAATAGAACTTGTCAAACTAGTTTTTTTTTTAAAATGAGATTACAGGTTCATCGATAAATATAATGGTGTTGATAATGTTATAGTTAGGTGTCATGAAGTTCCAAGTCAGATGCCTTATACAGCCGTGATTAAGAAACTGGAAGGATTCAAACTCAACATTATAAATATTAAATGGATTAAAAACTTGTTTAATGACAGGACTTGAAGTAATTGTACTGAAGGAATCATTATTGAACATGTGTTTGTAATAGTACCCCTCAAGTATTACTACTTTGGCCATATGGTATTTGTTTTTTATCAATGATCTGAAGATATAAACTCATTACCAATAAAGTTTGCAGATGTTGCAGAGATTGGGAGTGGGGGACTAATGAAGAGTACAGATCACTGATACAGAGCAATCTAGGATGCTTGGTAAACTGGGCTCAGGCTAACAATGTGTGTTTCAATATATAATACATCCAAATGTAAGATCATACACTTTGGCCTGCATTTTTTGTTTCTTAATTATAGGAGAGGAAACACTATTCTCCAGAAACACACTAAAAAAAGACTTAGGGCATCTTTGTGGTTAATAGCAGAATGAGTTGTGCCTGGTGTAATGCCATTGCCAAATGGGATAATTTAATTTTTGTATGTATAAATAGGCTTATCAAGTAGGAATAGGGAGTTATATTACCTTTGTATTTGGCACTGGTATAACTTGTAAGGGAATATTATGTCCCGTTCTGGTGCTTATAATGAAGAAGCATGTTGATAAGTTGGAGAGGGTTCAGAAAAGAGTCACAAGAATGATTAGAGATTAGAAAGCATACCTTATGGTGACATTCAAGGAAATCAAAGGGTGACTTGATCAGTACCTACAGGGGGACCAGAAATCTAGTAATAAAGGGTTCTGCAATCTAACAAAGGTATAACAAAATCCAGTAGTTGGAAGTTGAGGCTAGACAAATTCAGACTAGAAATAAGGCACGGCTTTTTAATAGTAACCATAATTAACCACTGGAACAATTTTGCAAATTTGTGATGAATTCTTCATCCCTGGAGATGTTTAAACCAAGATTGGATGTTTTTCCAAAAGATACACAGCTTAGACCTCCCTCATGTGGTACCTTTGGGATTGGACTTGTCCTGGATGAGGGATTTTGCTGGACCAGGAAAGGTCATTTCTGGCCCCATTGCTGCCATCTCCTTCTCCTTCCCCTCCCCCCCCCCCCAAAGGCTTCCTGGCTCCTGCCCCTTGCAAGCCCAGCTGAGCAGTGTGCTAGCCCCCCCCCCTCCTCCCTACAGCCCAGCTGAGCCGCACTCTGCCTCCCCATTGTGCTGAGCTCTCCACCCCTCACCTCCACAGTGCACCAGGATCCTGGAACATCTGTGGTCCTTCTGGACCATGGATGTTGCTGAATCAGAGAGCTCTGGTTTATAGAGGTGCAACTGGTATTCTAATTTAACCACAGGGTTTGGACTTATTTCAGAGAAGAATTTCGGCATGTGTTATGTAGCCCAGACTAGATAATCGCAGTGATTCCCTTCTGTCCTTAAAATCTATGAATGCACTAAATTTGAATGAACTGATTACTCAAATGTATTGAATCCTCCTTTCCAGTCTAGAGTTCTTGGGTGCATGTTAACACTAATACTACAGGCAGTCCCCGGGTTACATGGATCCGACTTACCCGGATCCCTACTTACAAACGAGGTGAGGCAACCCCGCACTAGCTGCTTCCCCCCAGCAGACCAGGGAGACGCAAAGCTAGCACCCCCCTCCCCAGCAGACAAGGGAGACAGAGAGCAGCTTTTCTCAGCAGACACCTCAGCTTGAGAATAAAGGACTGAGGGAAGTGAGGTGTGGGAGAATAAAACTGAGCTCTGGAGAAATGTTTGGCTAGAGTTTCCCCTACAATATGTACCAGTTCCGACTTACATACAAATTCAACTTAAGAACAAACCTACAGTCCCTATCTTGTACGTAACCCGGGGACTGCCTGTACTTCAGAATAAGCAGTTGATACCAACGTCTTGAAACAAATACCACTATGATAGAATTTTATAATTGAACTTCTGACTATTAGCAGCTATTTTTCAGGATAATTGAAGGTCTCTTTCTAAAGTTTGTGCTAGACAAAAAAAGTATTTCTATTGGTATTGCAGCAGTTTTGTTACGGCAAAGATTTCACTTGCAGATAACAGTTAACCAATTATATATATATATATTGTTGGTTCCTTGTCATGGGAAAGAGCTAATTGCACCAGTGAGTTCAGGATATGGTTAATCAGAAAGTTGAAGAAAAATGGACAAAAAGGTAAAAAAAAAAAAAATTCAGCAGAAATAGTGTCCCCTTTTTTTTCCCAACTAACTCTTGCTTTGGAAGCATTTTAAAAACTCTGAGGTGGCAGCAAACTCCACCTGTGGAACAACTTCTTTAGAACAACCCTACTCTTTCCTATGTGACCCAGGGTGCACAGGCAGCCCTCCCTGAAAATGCCAAGGGCAGGGCAGACTGCAAAAGAACAGATTCTCCCACATGGGAAGTTATTGTTAGATTCACCAATCACAGGCACAAATTGTGCTCCTTGTTCCCGGCACTGGTTATCAGGAAGCTAAAGAAAGAAATCACACAGCCCTCATTGTTGTGTATTTCTTCATAGTTGTATTCCAGTTCCCTAGCTCCTGGTCAACACCTAGGTCCAATAAAGTGAGAAGTTATTTGTAATTCTGCTCTTTATACAGACTGTTGTTCTGGACTCTAGTGGGCCAGCCACATTACTACCAGGTCAATATTGAATTAGATCTTACCCGGCATAACACTTTGCCAACCAGTTCTTTAGTATCAAAAACTAAAGGTTTACTAGGAAAGGAAAGAACAAGAAGAGCTTTGTTAAATTGTCAAAACAGTCAGATACATACATAAAACTTGAATCATTATATCAGATTATTAGCTGTATTGGTGAGTTTGCTGGCTTGAAAGTCCCTCTGGAACACATCCAAAGTTTTCATGGGTCATTCACTCCTTTGTTCAGAGCTTCGATTTGTAGGGAAGATACTGCAGAAGTAAGACATAGGATTGAAAACTAAATGGATAAGATGCAGTTGACTTTTATATCCTTTACCATATGGCTTGCATTTCCTATGACCCAAACAGACTTGCAGCACATGAGGAGCAGTCCCTTGTTCACAGACCTGTCCTTTTATGTCCTGCTAACTCAATGGGTGTACTTCTGCACTGCCTTCAGAGCTGGGTGCCAGAGAGCAGCCACTGCTGGCTGGATGCCCAGTTCTGAAGACCATGCATCTAAAGCAGCAGTGCAGAAGTAAGGATGGCAATATCATACCATGTCACCCTTAGTTGTGTGCTGCTGGCAATAGCTGTGCTGTCACTGCTGGGATCTCAGGAATCACTCTCCAGCTCTCCTGCTCTGAAAGCAGTACCACTGACAGCAACAACTCAGAAGTAAGGATAGTAGCACCACAGGGCTCTTCTCTCCCAATAGCCCTGTGGAAGGACCCCCCCAACTCCTTTGTGAGTCATGATCCCTACAGTTACTACACCATTACATTTCAGATTTAAATAGCCAAAATATTGAAATTTATTATTTTTTAAAATCCCATGACTATGAAATTGACCACAATGGACTGTGAATTTGGTAGGGTCCTAGCGATATGTAATATTTGGAACTTATTTTTGTAATTGATACACTTGTTTTATTTAATACTATTTATCTTACACATGTATTATATCTTTATCATAGCACACCTCTCATGGAGAAGGACGTCAAGAAGTTTCCTCTCGAACTGGACGCTCTGGAGCTCGCTGCAGAAATTCTATAGCTTCCTGTGCAGATGAGCAACCTCATATTGGAAATTACAGACTTCTTAAAACGATTGGAAAGGGGAATTTTGCGAAAGTAAAGTTGGCTAGACATATCCTTACTGGCAGAGAGGTAAAAAGCTTTTTTAATGGTGTAAAGCATGCTCTATTACACTTAGTTCTGAAAGCACTCTTTAACTAGTGTTATGTGGAGTCCAAGAACAACATGACATTTTTTTTATTAGAAAGAAATGGATAAACCTCCAAAACTTCACTTTCCAGAAAATGCATAAAAATGTTGAAAGCAAAAATATAGTAAACTAAGTAGTTGACTTTTAGAGTTAGATACAAAATGCTATTTTATACTGGATTTTAAGAAATATTTGTTAGCAATTCATTGGCAATTCCTCAAGATTGAAGATGATCTTTTGCATAGGGTTTTATTTTTTACGGTGACTGAGGAATCCAATTCTTGAACTGTGGGTCATTGGCAAACATTGCAAGTAGTGTTGAAAGTCAGGGTTGGCCTATGATTGCTGAGTAACAGCCATTTGTCCTTTCTTTTCTGGCATCTTTCTGTATCCAGGGCCAGGTGATTTTTCTCAAATGTGGATGTTCCTTTTCTGACAAGTTTTTGCCACTTAACCCTATCCTGAGCTATTATCTCCCAATATGCTGTGTCAATGTCACATCTCTTGAAGTTTATCTTGAGGATGTCTTTAAAACATTTCTTTTGGCCTCCCCATTTCCTTTCTCCTTTGGAGGTTTGGGTGTGCAGCAGTTGTTTTGGAAAGTGTATGTTGGGCATGCACACACAGTGCCCGCTCCACCTCAGCTAGTGCTGGATAATCTGTGCCTCAACACGGAAGATAATGGCCTCTCTGAAGATGCTAACATTAGTGCAGCTTTATGTTGAGATCTCCTGAAGAATGTTCTGGTGCTGGTATTCCAGGTTATTCAGGTGTTCCCTACAGGTCACCCATGTCTCTCAGACATAGAGAGTTGGGATTATCACAGCTTTATAAACTAAAAGTTTAGCATGTGTTCTGAAGTACCTGTTAAGTAAACAAATAGTACTAAAATTTGCTAGAATTCCTTTGTATATGCAAACAAAGGCAGAATATATAGCATTTATAAGCTTTTTAAAGCAGGGACAGTCTTTTTGTTATGTGTTTGTATAGTGTCTTGCACAGTTGGGGCCCCCCTTTCATTCCCATAACTGGATTCCTAGGTCTACTGCAATACGTTAATAAATAACAATTTACATCTAACGGTACCTCTCTGTAAATCTATCTATATATTTTAGCAATGTGCATCTGTCTGAATCTGTTCAAGAACTCCTAAATAAGAAGAGCTAGGACCACCAAATTTGGTATGCAGCTTTCTCTTATCCTAACTTAAAGCAATTGTTTCTCATAAAATGGAAAGGAAGGGATTTGGTAGGAGGAACGGTTTACACTGTAGAATGACCACATGGGAGCAGCAAGTGCCCCAGCAATAAACCACTGGCAGGCGGGCCCCGACACTCTGGTCTGCCCTAGGGAACAGCTGCCAGCCACTGTGCAGCCCCATGCCTTCAGGCTGGGCCTAGGGAGTGCTGGTGGGGGGCCTGTACATGCCCCCACCTGCCTCAGGGATGGGCCCATGGCATGCCAGCAGGAGGCCTGCTTACTACTAGTAAATAATTTATTTGCTACAGAAGGTGTTTTGTGGTGTTGTATCGTTGTTACCAATAGCTAGTTTCAGTCTTCTGCAAGATACGTTTTTCTTTTTCAGCACTTTTTGACTTGGTTGGATGGGTTTGGAATTGGGCATTGTGAGGTTGAAGTGACCCCTCTCAAAAGTCAAAATTTGCAAGAAAAACCAAATTGTTGAATGCAGTAATATTGGGGATGAATACATGGCATTTCCACATCTGAGTCAATACAGAACCAAAAGAGGTAGTGGAGGTTTGTCATCTCTCGGATGGGGAACAGGAAGTGTGGGGGGTGTGTGTGAGAGTGAGCGCGCGCACGCGCATCTATCTCCAGGTTATTGCTGGTGTCCTGACTAACTTCCAAGTTGGGTAATTACATTCTGACTACTTCAGTTTGCATTGCAGAGTGTCCCCACTATCCATCCAAGATATATTCTAAAAAAACATGGATAGATAAAGAAACTATTGAAAGCCGTGAATTTTTTTCCCCATGGCTGACTTCCATTTGTGCAAATTTTTTTTGCACAACTTAAAAGCAGGTAATGGGAGGGACTTTTAACACATCAGTTCCTACAAGCAACAATAACTTTAGTGTGAGACCGATGTATACCGGAGAGACTTATAGTGGGGATGCCCTGTAATATTTTGTGTGCTAAACTGTTAAATGTGGTTCAGAGCAGAGATTCTCAAACTGTGGTGTGTAGGCTACCTGTGGTCTGCGGATAATTCCCTTCAAGGTTCCAATCTTGGAAGGTTTTTTGTCTGAAAATGAGCTGGTTCTTGACAAAAATAATGACATCAAAGAACATCTTGTTGCACTTAAGCAATAGTTTGAAGATTGCTTTCTGGTAGAAACTGAACCAAACAAAAGGACACGTAATCCTTTTGGAATTGAAATCAGTGAGCTGCCCTCTGGTTTGTCCAATAAGGCACAAGAGTGCTTATTGGAGCTTTCTTGCAATAAAACATTATGGTTAAAATGTAAAAGACATTTCCTAATTGAGTTTTTGATTCAAATAACAGGAAAGTAACTAGAACTTGGGGGCAAAACAGTGCATTTTTGGATACCATTTGCTACTATGTACCTGTGCGAGACAGTATTTTCTTCACTTATTGCCCTCGAGTCCAAATACAGAAGTAGGATGAATGCTGAACCTAACCTTAAGGCTAAAGTAGCATTTGGAAAAATCATTAATTGGTTCACCAAGACCAGGAGAAATTTTCAAGTGATTCGTGGTGGGGAAAATTTTTTTGAGAACCACTGATTTAGAGAATGTGTATGCCTTGGACTCCAAAAATTTGATGTAGCATGTGACAGACACAGAATGAAGATTACCTTTTCCCCCATGGTGTAAATCTTTGTTTAACCTCAGTTCATGATGTTACATTTTCTGAAGAACGTAACTTTTAACAACAAAAGTTAGGGAGCATCATAATTGTGTATAACGTAGGTAATTTTAGGATTAAAACAAATGACACCCCTCAAAATTAGGGATACTTAAGAGATTTGTTGTTGTAAAATTAGTGTATAAAGTACTTTGAACTATTTCGGGAGGAAAGACAACATATAAATATGAGAATTCATCATCCTAATGAATGTACAGGCAGTCCCCGAGTTACGCGGATCTGACTTATGTCGGATCCGCAGTTACAAACGGGGCACTTCCTCTCCCTGGTCTCGAGCAGACCAGGGAGAGGAAGCAAAGCGGCGGCGGAACGCGCGGCCAGCTGACAGCCCAGACGCGTCTGGGCTGTCAGCTGGCCGCGCGTTCTGCCGCTCTGCTCTGCTCCGCTCTGCTCCCCCTCCCCCTGGTCTGCAGACCAGGGGGAGGGGGAGCAGAGTAGAGCAGAGCGGCGGAACGCGCGGCCAGCTGACAGCCCAGACGCGTCTGGGCTGTCAGCTGGCCGCGCGTTCTGCCGCTCTGCTCTGCTCCGCTCTGCTCCCCCTCCCCCTGGTCTGCAGACCAGGGGGAGGGGGAGCAGAGTAGAGCAGAGCGGCGGAACGCGCGGCCAGCTGACAGCCCAGACGCGTCTGGGCTGTCAGCTGGCCGCGCGTTCTGCCGCTCTGCTCTGCTCCGCTCTGCTCCCCCTCCCCCTGGTCTGCAGACCAGGGGGAGGGGGAGCAGAGTAGAGCAGAGCGGCGGAACGCGCGGCCAGCTGACAGCCCAGACGCGTCTGGGCTGTCAGCTGGCCGCGCGTTCTGCCGCTCTGCTCTGCTCCGCTCTGCTCCCCCTCCCCCTGGTCTGCAGACCAGGGGGAGGGGGAGCAGAGTAGAGCAGAGCGGCGGAACGCGCGGCCAGCTGACAGCCCAGACGCGTCTGGGCTGTCAGCTGGCCGCGCGTTCTGCCGCTCTGCTCTGCTCCGCTCTGCTCCCCCTCCCCCTGGTCTGCAGACCAGGGGGAGGGGGAGCAGAGTAGAGCAGAGCGGCGGAACGCGCGGCCAGCTGACAGCCCAGACGCGTCTGGGCTGTCAGCTGGCCGCGCGTTCTGCCGCTCTGCTCTGCTCCGCTCTGCTCCCCCTCCCCCTGGTCTGCAGACCTGGGGGACGGGGAGCAGAGCAGAGCAAAGCCACGGAGCCCGAGGGCAGCAGGATAGCCACGGCACGTCTGGGCTGTCACGCTGTCCCCATGCTCCACCGCTTTGTTCCGGACGCCTGTGGTACAGCAGCTGGGGCGCTGCCGGTTGGTCCTGTAGCGCCGCTCTGGGTGCCACTGGACCAACCCAGCAGCACCCCAGCTGCTCTGCCCCAGGTGTCCCCTAGTCAGCAGCTGCTGAAAATGACCAGT